AAATTTCAAAGAAGAGCCCCGGCCACTCGCAGGGCTTTCTCCAAGGTCAAGGACCTGGGCACTCCCTCACCCAAGAAGAAGGCCAGAGCGGCCAAAGTCAAGGAAGAGCTTTCGGAGGAGTTCCAATTTGATGCTGTGGTTTTGGCTGCGCCGGTAAAGCCTCATTCTATTGATTCTCTTGAGGACGTCGTCGACGGTCACGAAAAGGTGCCTGACCCCATGGATGATCTTGCTGTGAATCTTGCAAGAGCTTTCCAACTTCATTGGAGAAGAGGATGCAAAGGATCATGGTGGGTGAACGGCCGACCCGGCATACACATGACATGTATAAAAACCCTGCTCCCAGCGAGACTGGTTATATCATGTATTGTAGCACAATGCTTAATCGGTTTAGTTGCTACATGCGCTAGTCTGATTTTTCTCACTACAGAGAATATTTTCGAAAAGGGCTTGCGGCATAACCAGGCGCGACATGCAAGTCTGATGTAAAAAAGGCAGCATTGAAGATGGTGTCGTTTTATGCAGGGAGCAAGTGCGCACATTCCCAGAAAGAAAGTGTTTTGGACATAGCTTTCTAGCGTACAGATCCGACTGACTGGTGAATGGTCATCTGGTAAAACAGGATTGTGCAAGCATTCACCGATAGCACAAAGGTTAGTCCATCCAGACGCTCATGGTGCTGGGCTTGTGCGGCCACTTGCGTTGCCAAGTTTGTCTACGGGAGGCCGGGAGGCAGTTTGACCAAGGCTTGGTCCTTCTTGCTTCACGATTTCATCACCATGGCCAAAAGATGTCTCCCACCGCATGTCCCGAAGAGGGGCAGCGACCAAGAAATCTACTGCTTGGAAAGCCATCCCCTACATCCGAGGGAAAGGAGGGCCATGACCTCGTGGACAACACACAGATCAAATTACGTGGATGCGTTCAATCACGGAGCTGCTTATGGCAAACGACAAGGCTATCATCAAGATCCTCATTACTGATAAAATCCTTTGTGATTGGACTGGCGCTACCTGCCCCGGTTGCTCCTCTCGAAGTTCATGCAATTCCGATGCAACACTTGGAAACACAAGTGCGCCTCAAAGTGCAGAGTTTGGTTGAATCCGCATCACCTTCATCCCCTTTTCACAGCAGGCAGTGGTTCGACATCGACGTCGCTGCACGCACAAACGTCTGTACTCTTACTGCTCCTCCTCCGCGTCCCGCTGTCCACGATCCATCTAGATCTGCTCACTCACGTGAACCGCAAGGCTGTTGAGGACATGTACTACAGGATGTGAGTTGCGCAGAAACTATGTGGAGAAGGAGGAGAAGAACATCACATTCAGGCACTGGGCAGTCTTGGAAAGACATTGAGGCGGATGAAGCCACCTTCGACAAGCGTGCCATCAGCACGTCGGTCGAAATTCGAGCACCTCATCAAAGACTAGAAGTTTACTTGGATGTGGGAGCAATGGGCGGGTGTTGTCGTCCCGAAACACGTGTCTTGCATAAGCTGAACCCGAAGGTGACAGTCAAGAGCCCCCGGACCGGGTGCAAGATTGATTAGCAGACTCTCGCGAACAAGCCGGTAGGTGATTTACACACAGACTCAGCAAAATCCTACAAGGCGTACATCGATGGGGTCATCCACCACCGGGTGGTTCATTGCAAACTTTCGAGTGACAATGAATGGCGCGTTGCAAGTGGGTTAGTCCCAAAAACGTAGGAGTCGTTGAGCACAAAATTCCTGGCACACAGAGGATTTCGAAATGCAAGTCAAGAACTCAGGTGATCGATAGAGCTTGGCGGTTTTCGAACAAACCGGAACTGCAAGGCCGGTTTCAAGTTGCTGCATGCAAAGTTGCGTTCAGCGCAATATGAATCTTAGCGTGGCAAACCTGAGACTCTCGCGTTTTTTTCGTTTGGACCCCAAACAAACAGTCAAACGAGCGCCGGGAACTGGAGCTATCAGGAAGCCAGAGTGGAAAACGCTCGGCAACAAACTCCTGCACAATCGTCGCGTTGTTCTCCATACTGACTCGGCAAACTCTCACAAGTTGAAGATCGAACGGGTCTTTCACGATCGCGTGGTCCATGACAAGAAGAGGGTGAAGGTGGATGGCAAGTTTCGTTGGTTGATGCCGCACTACGTCAAACTCAACACGAACCGCACCATCACCGTGAAGTCTGGCACGCAGATCATTGATCGCGCATGGCGGTTTCTGAAAGACAGAATTATCGCTAACCAGAACTGTCGTGCGGAAGCAAGGCTCTGAGAGCCAAGCCTCGATCTGCACAGTACGAATACTGGCACAAAGACGATGATTTGTGGCTGCACTGCGGTATGCTATGCAGCCGGAGTATCAAGAAGCTCGTTAGGGCCTAAATCGGCCTAAACCTTCCCGTGAGGAATTCTTTCAAAAGCACCCATACTTGTGGTTTTCATGTCACACGAGTATCCTTGCACCGGGCGGCTCAGTCCTATGTAGCCAGCTTCATCAGCTACCATTCGACTTGTTGGAAAATATATCCCATCTATGTGTGTTTGTTTAGGCACTGCAGGGCTGATAGTGCAATTGTTTCGCATACATTGCTGCGTCGTAAGCATACAACAGTTCGATTCATGAGCCTGCGTATCAAAAAAGAGCGACAACCGCGAACCGGGTATGCTCACATGATTGCCTTGCGAGCTTCGCGTCGCACCACCGCAGGCCCATGCATATCCTATTCCTAGATGACTTCGAGCGTCGCCTACACGAAATCAGCAAACTGAAGAAGTATGTTCCAACACACTGCTTCTTCTGCAGTATACTGGATCAACTAGTTAAACCAGCCACCCGGCTGCCGCGTGCAACATGTCGGCTTCCTTTGTCGGCAGAGTTCCAGCGGACATTGCTGCCTTGATCTTTGATTACGCAGTTGACCGGCAAGTCGACCTGCAGGGCCCCCTGCGCCAGCGGCGCCCACCGAATGGCCTTGCCGTAGTGGCACACTTCCACATGGATGCACTACTCAGTTTATCATACTTTGTTGTTCTTCCCTGCTGGAATATTGGTATATGTTATCAAACCACATCCGCACTAGTGTGCTGTGCTATGCGGCGATTCAGTTGAGGATCCATTGTTTGCCGAGTTCGTGACATGTTCTGCAAGATCACGCCGAATCTGGGGAGGGCATTTAAGAATTATTTGCTTTAACTTTCTCTATTGCTATGAGCCTACAGTCTCATCCTCTGTTCGGAGTCATTCGGGCTCAGTAAGGAATAATGATGAGGCGCCTCTGACAGCAAAAGATATGTTCAACTTCGACTTCGACTAGGTCCTCGAAGAGACAGCATATTCAATATATTCAATCCTCTAAGAGGAAGACACGGTCAGAGATCTGTTGTGGCGAAGAAAAATATATTGAGTTTCAAGGTTGTGCATTTGCAACCGCTGCCATGTATGATGCTGTGTTTCCGCTGAACGTGGTGTCTTGGCGGGGGGGGGGGGGTAGTAGCATATATGTGTGTATGTGTGTATATATATATATATATATATTATGTTATATTATAATATTTATATTTATATTTGTATTTATATTTATATTTATATTTATATTTATATTATATTATATTATATTATATTATACTATATTATATTATATTATATTATATTATATATGCATATACATACATTTGTTTATTAGGGTTTCTCTATTATGGCATATGGAATAAAGAATATTCCTCGAATCAGACTAAGGATCCTACTGACCAAGGACCAAGGTACATTCCTGAATTTAAGGATGTTGGAAGGTCTTGGGGGGTGGAGTTTCGAAAGTCGAGACATGGGCTGCGAGTAGCTTAGGAAGCTTACACCGGTCTTCCTAAACCTCCGACTGTTTCTTAACTTAGCAGCCAAAAGTCTTAAAACCCTGAACCCTAAGTCCGACATCCTGAATCCGAAATCCTGAATCCGAAACCATGGACCGTACTGCCTGCAGCTGAGCTCTTGGGATTCCTTTGGCTTGGTGATTCTACGGCTTCAGGTCTTTGAGGAAGAGCTGCGATGTCGTCCAGTGCCGGGATTCTGGACGAGCGCTTCTTCGAAGGAAGTCGGAACAAAATGCACAAGATGGAGCTTGCGGGGGTGTGTAGGGTTTAGAGGTTTGGGGTTCAAGCTTTAAGAATGCGGGTCTGTAGGGTTTAAGGTTTTCGCCCCTTGTGTTGTTTCCTGTGGGGGGTTCGATAGTGCTTGCAATGTCCTATAGAGTGCATGCCAGAAGATGGCTGAGATTTTCAGCTTTGAGGGATTTGGCTTTGCAGCTGTGGGTCTAAAGTTAAGATAGATAAGGCGATGAACGGCGAGCAGTCGAAGGCGCAATCTATAAGCCCGGCACCATCCCTGCACCTTAGACCCCAAGCAATACTGGGTTTCGAAAGCCCTCTCTTTCTCGCTTTCTTTCTCTCTCTCAATCTCTCTCTCGCTCTCTCCACGTTGGTTTATCCGTTTATCGGTCAATCCTCCAACAATGGATTTAAATATCTGTACATGTTGTTCTCTCTGCGAAACCTGTTTTCACCTATGCACCGGTCCACCCATCCAACCATCGATCTATCACTGTACACACACACACATACAGCAGTGAAAACGTGGACACCACAAGACTCTTCTCGTGAATTTGCCTTGCTAGCCTTCCTTTAGGACTGACCTTGCGACAAATAATGCTTCTCGCTGCGTTTGCTCGACCCGAAGTCCTAAAGCCCGGCCTGGCACTAGACCCCAAAGGCCCTGAAACCTCAAAGCACAAAAGCACCAATGCCTACGTCTCTATCGATGATGCACAGGAGCCGGAGCCTTGCGTGCCGTTTGATTTACAAAGCCGAAGTTCTAGCGCCCTTAAAACTAACCCTGATCAAAACCCAAACCCCCTAAACCCTAAACCTTAGCACCGAATCCCTAAACCCGAAACCCCCCCCAAAAAGCGAACCCCGAAGCCCCAACCCCTTATATCTTCGATCCCCTCAGTACTGGGGCCAGGTGCGGCACCATGCCCCCGCTGCTGACGCAGCCTTGGCCGGCTCTGCCAAGTCCGATTGCCAAGGCCGGAGGTTCCAAAGCTTAAGCCCTAAAGAAACATTAGTTTTTTATTACAGCATACAGAGAGAGAGAGAGAGAGAGAGAGAGACAGAGAGAGAGAGAGCGAGAGAGAGAGAGAGAGAGAGTACATATTATTTTTGTATAGTATAGATATGTATATAGTCGTCTAGTAGAAAGTTTAGTATGTACTGTACTCGTAGATGCAAGCCAAACCCTACACCCAAAAGCCCAAACCTTATGCCCTAAATCCTGAACCCAGGATCATCCTAAATCCTTAGAATCCCCAAACCCCAAACCCCAAAAAAACCCAAACCCCCAAACACCCACAAAAACCCAACACCCCAAAACCCCCCCACCCCCCCACCCCAAACCGGCCACAGCCCAAAATCCTAAACCCTAAACCCCAACTCCCGGAGAGACTTTCGACCCCCTACACCAGAAGGAGATATTCCCCAACGCCAAGGCTCAGAGTCTGGCGCCGGGTTCAGAGCGCAAGCTTTTGGCCAGAGCCCCGGCTCGGTGTTCCCGGGCAGAATGCCTGGGGCAGGGGGGAAGGGTGGGTTAGGGTTTAGGTTTTCGCTTAGTTTGTTTTAATATCAGGGTTGCGGGACTAGGAGGGGTGGAGGGGTGTCTGAATGGATACTGGACTGACAGGGCCCTGCCGCATCAGGATTCAGACTTTGCGGTCTACCGCTGGGGCTTCGGCAACGCAAACTTTCAAGATTTTGGTACTCAAGGCTTCCCGAGACACAGTACGTCGTGATAGCGACACGCCTGATTGGATTGAGATCATTCGAACAAGAGGCTTCGTCTTTCTCCGATTTTTTTGGATCCTGGCACCTCGACAAGAAGGTTTTTCCCAAAGGGCCAAGCCCTCTCTTCGCTGTTCGAAAGGGGTTTCGACCGTTCGAGTTTTCAGGATGCGCTTGCGAGAAACCCCTTCCTTTTGTCTCAGCAACCAGCTATGGGCTCCATAGTTGTTCCTTTTTGGGGTTCATATTTAGAGTCCTATGAGGTAATCCCAAAAAGAGCCCGCAGGGCTAAACCTGGGATCATGCAATGTCTCACAGGACCGTAAGACCACATTCTAATCACAAGCTTTCTACTCTAGACAAACAAGGTCCGAAGTCTGGTCTAATGCCAGCTACCGAGGCAGTTGAGCTTCATCTAGCAAGTTGCCCCGTGAATGTCTTACAGCCCATGCAGAGTCGTTGCTCAACATGGCGCCTGAAAGCCCACACTGGGTGTTTAGGCCATATCCAAAGGCCCTAAAGTAGTTCCTTGTTGGGGTTCATATATAGAATCCTATAAGGTAACCCCAAAAAGGAACTACTTTGGGGTCTATGGGTACCCTAAACCCCTAAACACATTCAGCAGCTAAGTTTGGTGCCCTCGCCATCGCTGCGGGCACTCGGCGGACGTCCACTCAACGAAGCGCGTTGAAGAAGGCCGGAGCTGTGATTCAAGCCTCAAGAAATCCAAGTGTCCTCCTATATATATATATATATATATATATATATATATATATATAAACGCTTACAAAGTGGGACTAGTTGCAGAGGTTAGAGGTTTCAGGTAGCATGTCATAGGCCAAAAGAACCCGTAGTCCCTATGAAGCTTTCGCTTCCCGGGAAGAGTTTTTGCTTTAGTCTTCAACCGAACTTTTGCACTCCGTCAGGCCTGTGGCCTGAAACCTAGGGTGCCCCTGTGGATGCAGGTTGAGGTGAAATTCGGTCCTTTCCAGGCCAGTGTAGTATAATGGGCCCAAGAAACCCTATTGATATCATTAAGGCCCCTATATTACAGTTTCTAGGGTTTTGAAAGAACGGGTGTCTCACAATGTTGCGAGGGGCAGAGGGGCGGACCTGATTTAGGGTCCTCGAGTGCAGCTTCCGGGCAGCAGGGATGTGTCGCACGCAGCAAAGGGGGTGATCCCCTACGACCTGGTGTCACGAACCCATTTGTGTTTGAGACTTGCAACAGATGCGGGAAGACCTGCATCCACCATGCCTAAACCCTGAATGCGCAGTTCATAAACCTTGCAAGTGAACCCTGGGCAGCCGTCATATACGACGAACAAGAGGAAACAGACTTCACCTCTCGGGATCAGCCCTGACAACTTGAAGCAGTGAAGCTCTTTGCCATGATGATGGACAATATACGGCAAGACTAATCGCCACCACAACGCGTAATCGCTAGTACGGCTGTTATAGCAGCCTCGCCGAACCCCGTGTTGTACAACCCGCTTACCTCAAACCTCAACTCCAGAATTCCAAAACTATGAGCCCGGGCTGCTCGAATCCTTGTCAGGTAAGGCTTACAAGTGACTTCGGCCGCGCCATCGTCGCAATTAATCCCAACGAATCGGCGCTATAGTGCTCTGTATCAGAATTCAGAATTCGACTTGGCGGACTGGGCCCAGAAGTTGCAGCGATTGAGGGTTGTGAGGGTTTTGAACATGTGAGTTTAAGGTCGTGAACGTAGTGATGGGTTCGGACTTGTCACTTCACGCTTTTAGCATGGAGTTTCGATGCCGACTGAATGATGCACACGGCCGCACTTGCAGCGAATGCTTAGGTATCGCAACACGCAGAACCTCAGATCTCAACACCCAGAATTTACTGAAAGAATTTGCCGACTGAGCTTGAAGGTTTAGGGCGTCAGTTCGGGGCCTTTGCCGCAGCGACGTGATAAGGATTATATACGGGTGTGCGAGGTTCAGCGGCGGACACGCAGGATTCAGGGTTAAGGTGTTGCGGCTAAGTTCAGGTTCTGCCTTTGCTGTTTGGGTTTGTGTGGCTCAGGGGAGAGACAGCGAAAGACGGAGTAAGAAGGAGAGGCGGGGCTGCAAAACAAAAACAAACTCTGGGTGTAGCGGTTTGACAATCCCCCAGAGATCTTCCGAAGTCCTAAACTTGAAAGTGCCAGAAGCTGAACTGGCATGGCTGTCGACAGCTACCATGAGAACCAAGATTGCTGCAATATGTACTGGACGGAAAACGCTGAACCTCTTGGCCTTCGGCATGTCCAACAAATGAAACCTGTCTTTCTGGAGCGGCGGCATTTCATATGAACCCGAAAACCCAACTCCCAAAATACCCTTATAACTCTCTGCAGCATACCCTCGGGCGCCGTGTACTCTGCCGGCAAAGCGTACAGATCCCAATCCCTCAGTCGCATCAGAACGACAAACCTCAACATTACTGTAGAGGCTTGAATAATTAGAATAGGGTTTTGGGGCTCACTGTACAATATTTGTAGTAAGGGACGCCCAAAATAGTATTGGTAATTATAACGGCCCCTAAATTACGCAACAAACCCTGAATCCTAGTGCCCTGCAGAAGGTGCTGGCTGTGCTTGCAGTGGCGCCCCCAAGACCTCGTTGCAACTTACAAGCTTTGGTTTAAGAGTTCAGCAGTTCCGATTTGGGATGGTACTACCCTGGTCCAAAACAAACTCTTTTCATAAAAAGTGTTTTCATTATAAAATTTCAGTGGTTTAGAAGTTGAATGCTTCGACAGCTCTTGGGTTTGATGTTCCGTATCAAATTCTGAGTGGTGCGTCAGTCGCTGACGTTGAGGAATCACTGACAAAAACGTTCATAAGAGTAGCGAACATGCTTTGTAAAAAGCATCGAAACACCACGCAAAGACGCAGTAGTCAATACTGTAAGCCATAGTTGATTTAAAACATGTCGAAAATTCAAGCATTCCCCACCTCGGCAGTTCTTGCGCAAGAGGAGTTCCAATTTCGCAGGCATCCAGGTGTGGTTTAGGCTTATCTGTCTATCCATGTGTCCATCTGTCTGAATATCTATCTATCTGTTTGTCTATCTGTCTATCTATCTCTGTGTATGTAGGTATATAATATGTATATCATATGAGTCCCGGATGAATTGAAAGGGACCGGGCTGCTTCAAAGTAAACTTGAGAGACGACGAGGAGAACCAATCCGCAACGCTAAGCCCTAAAGCCCTGAGTGTGCGCCGCTACGGTACAGACATCGTGTTAAATAGCACCCTAAACCCCTGAACCGGAAACCCTAAGCCCGAAAACCGAGCTCAGCGAGAGTGCACTTTCCGAGAGATTGTCGCTCAACAATCAGCTGGCAGAGTGCACTTCCAGACACTTCTCCAATCGACCCTTCAACTAGGACAGCTTCTAATACCTCGAACCTATAAAAACCTGTAAAACCTGTGCCTTGAGGGTTGTATTGGTATTTTGATTTCCTTATAAGTCCTCGAGAAGGTAGGGTTTTAAGGTCCAGCTACTACCCTTGACTACTAGTTATACAAACGCTACTGGTAGCATCATTGATTACGTTTACATGATTGCTACTGCTGCTATTGCATAAGTAGCGCTATCACTTTTTCGACCTCCCCAGATCTGACCCCAGATCACCGGCAACGTAAGCAACTATGGCCTTTTTTTGATGTGTAGCTACATATTACGAGAGATCATGGAAAGAAGGCTAGTGATAAGAAGCGCATTCATTGCCCAATACAGCCTGAAGCCTAGAACTTGGGATGCAAATCATCGTCTCAAGATCTCTTCCCTTCAGGGAGGAAAAGGGCCCTCAAAAAAAAAGTCCTTGAGACGATGTTTAGCATCCAAGCAACTTCCATGGGTCAGGTCTTGAAGATTTGGACTTCCGCGTTCGTGCTGTGCCGGGTGAGGCTCGAAGCTGGGTCACTCCGTTACAGTAAGAGTCTAGAATAGGGCCAGTATTAAGGTCCCAACATATCTATATTATGAATATGGTTCATGAGTGGGTTTAGTTTCGAATTTGGTTTGAGGGTCTTGTAACCTTTGTTTCGCTGTTGTTCACGGTCCTTCTTTGCCTTGTCACAGCATTAAGAGTGCATGAGGGTTCATCAACTCGATGGGTAGTTTGTGAGGGTCCCCAGGTGAGAAGGATGTCGGTTTGGATTAGTCGTTAGTTGTGCGCACCAGTTTGGCCTTCTCCCTGTCTTTCCGTGTCCCTCTCCATCTCCCTGTCCCTCTCCATATCTTTCTCTCTCCCTCTCTCTCGCTCGCTCTCTCTCTCTCTCTCTCTCTCTCTCTCTCTCTCTCTCTCTCTCTCTCTCTCTCTCTCTCTCTCTCTCTCTCTCTCTCGCTCTCTCTGTCTTTGTTTATGTCGCACATGCACCGGGGAGGGGGGAGAGAGAGAGAGAGGAGAGAGAGTCCCTGTTGTTTCGTGATTCAGTATTTAGCATCCTATCTTTCTCAGGTTTCAATCGGGACAGTTGCACTGCCGGCTGATCTTGCAGATCCCGAAACGGTTACACCTCACTGAAGTAGGTGCCCTAGATTGGAACCCTAAAACCCTAACCCCCTATACCTCTAAACCCTAAACCGTGGAACTGTGCAGGTGACCTTTATCGATCCCATCGATCCCCGACGGGGAGGCGCATGTCAAGGGCTTAGATGATTACCGATCCCATCGATCCCCGACGGGGAGGCGCATGTCAAGGGCTTAGATGATTACCAAGACTATTTCTGGTGGGTTCCCTGAAAGGGTACCTTAAAGGGCTCTACAAGGGTCTACAGTAGGGTTCTATAATATCACCAATACTATTTTGGTGGGGGTTCCTGATTATAACTATAGCATAATGCGCCCCAAAACCCTCTTAAAATAATTCAGGCTCCTATATTGGCTGAGTTCAGGGGTGTGTCGGTTTGACGGAGTCGGGTTTGATGGCGGTGGGGTTCAGAATGCGCGGTGCAAGGCAAATGAGTCGGGAATTTGGGGTTCAGGGTCTCGGGTTCAGTTTGGGTTAAGGTACACTAAACCCTAAACCCTAAACCGCACTGTAGGGTGTAGGGTTTATGGCTTACAAAGCGCGCCTTGCTCGAACTCCCCAGCCTCTGTTGTGTACACTCAAAGGATACCGTTAAAGATGCACACAGAGGGACCCAAAGGCATTGCTAAAGCCTAAACCCTAAGCCCCTAAACCCTTCAAACCCAAAACCTCAAAGCGGGATCCCGTTTGTGAAGAGCCCTTTCAATCGGAAGCCCACTTGGCCAAAGAGGTACTGCGAAAGGAGCTTTGAGCGTTTAGTATGTGGGGGCCTCAATAGTTACCAATAAATACTGTTTTGGGGTGCCTTACCATAATTATACTATGTAAATACTACTAATCAGTAAAGCCCCCATAATAATGGTAAGTTACGGTTAGGGAAGACTACGGCTGATGACCTGCCACCTCCATGCCCTGTGAGGCCAAAAAGGTCCTCTCCGAGATGCTGATATCCAAGCAGCTTTCATGCTCGCAGGCCGTTGGGTCGGAGACTTAGTGAAGGCAAGGTTGGGGGATTTGGCTGGTTGTCAAATCTATGGTCCCTTTTTGGGTACCCTACACATTAAGTGTCGTGCTAAACTAGGGACCCAAAAAGGTACCATAATTTTGATATCTACAGTACCTATTTAAAAATGAACCCCAAGCGCCCCAGTCCAAGCATCCGCAACCCCTGACCACCCCTGAAACAATCCTGTTCCCTGAAGCCCATGCCAAAACCCAAACCCTCAAGCCCAAACCCTCAACCCAGATTGAGCGGAAACCAAAAGCGCAAAAAGCGTCCTAAACCCAAACCCTGATCCCCTAGAAACCCCAAGCCCTAAACCCCAATCCCCTGTACCCTAAGCCCTAAACCCCAATCCCCTAAACCCTAGGCCCTAATTACACCCCAATCCCCTAAACCCCAATCCCCTAGAACCCCAGGCCCTAAACCCCAACCCCATAAACCCTAAGCCCTAAGCCCCAATCCCAACCCCAATCCCCTAAACCCAATCCCCTAAACCCTAGGCCCTAAACCCCAACCCCCAAGTCCTAAAGCCTTGAATCCTACCTCGAACCCAGGCCATTGGTCTTGCCAAAGAGGCCCTCCCCGCGCGCGCGCGTTGTGTTCAGCCATGTTCTGACATGGGATCTGGGAGTTTCCGAGAATAGGGGACCTTAAAAGAGTACCCTAAATAGTAGGATCCGTATTTTCAGGACCCCGAAACAAGGTACCCTTGATTCTCGGAAACTCCCATCTGGGTTCTTCGGTTCAGGTTTGGGCACTTCGGGGTTGTTCTCTTTCTTCATGTTTGTGCCACTGTTTCGTCTGTACGTGCTTGAATGGGCAAAAAATCGCGAGAAAATAGCATCCCAGCTTTCGAAAAGTGCCCTCTTGCTTGCACCATTGCTATTTGCTCTCCACGACTGCTCAGATTGCATTGCTGGCGACGGTGTTGTTTGCTGTTAACTGGTCGGTATAGCATGTTTCATTTTCAACTTGGTGCTTTCTAGTCCAGAGTATTTGTAAGGCGTTTCATGATCCAGGGTGTCGACGAAAGCGGCGCCCAAGGCCGTATTTCAGAGATAGAGGCCCAGGTCATCACGAAACAAATTAAACTTGACACGGCTTGGTTGTAACTGTAGTTTCTGGCTTAGTGAACATGATATTGAGATCCTGACAGCTATTACTAAGTTACTATGCACAATCCCTAATTCGTTGCTGCACGCAGCGGGGCCAACCCTCCAAGCTCTTGCAGTACACGACGGCACCTTAAGCCTAAAACTCCTATGCCCTATAAGGCACAACCAATGAATCCCAGCGCAGGCAGACTGGTCATTCAACGTCCTGCTGCGAAAAGAGGCAAGTCCAGCAGAAGAGACGGAAGAATCAGAAGAGCCATCGTCTTTACTCTCATCCTTCATGGCCAACTATCATCGGTATCCGACTCACCATCACCATGAGCGTCTGATCTGTCGTCTTCCTGGCTAAACCGCTTTAGTCTTCCCATCGCTATCGCCAGCACTCAAAATTCCTAATCATCGCCAGGCAGATCATCACCATGTTGATGATGTAGTACATGATGGGCGGGGATGGTCGTCATCATCATCGCGGCTTGCTCATCACCATCGTCGTTGGCATCCATCGCCATCCGCGCTAGGATCATCATCGGAGTAATCTTCTTCGTCAACAGCAGCAGTGACGACCTACTACATACTACCGACACCGACACGTACTACCGACCACGTGACGACCTACTACCGACTCCCTGCCACCTGCTGACAACTCCGTGCTTGAAGGTTGCGGGCTTTGGGAACTAAATCCGGAAGAAACCCTAAACCCCTAAACCCTGAACCGTAAACCCCCAAACCCCGAAGTGTAAACCCCTGTGGTAGAGGCTCCTGAAAGCGAACTCTGCTCATCCCAAGCTAGAGTTCAAGCCTTAAACTACAATCGGGACCTGAATCATTCGTAATGCAATTTCCTGTGAGATTTTGCTATAAGCCGTACAATCGACCCCAAACCATAGTGTTGTAGTTAAGGTCCCTGGAGCACCCCCAATAAGCACCGCAAAGCCTAAATCGCAGCAAAGAGTCTGTTTGAGGAAGCCTCCACTTGGCTTTGCCAACTTCAAGAGTTCTCTTGCCGGCCTCCTGCGCACGAGGCCGTAGTCTATGTAGAGATACCAGAAGCCAAAAGCGCAGTGAGTTTCATGATAAACAGCCAACTAACGATAAGGAAGATCATGCATCATAGCAAGAAAAAATGATGTACCTGACCGGGAGCTCTCAATCTAAAAGTACCTGACCGGGAGCTGCGAATGATTGTTCGGTTTTGAACTTGTTCGTGTGTAGCGTTTCCTTGTCTGAAGCATCTGCGCACCGTATGTGACGGTGTTGTGACGAGTGATCTAAGCATACTTTGCAGTGCTTTTCTGGGCACCTGACCCCGGTAGCTGAGGATGAAGATCCTAGGCTTCATATGTGCGGTACTACGGTACTGTTCATCGAAACAGTCCTGCACCATGTGCCCGCAGTGAGGTTCTATAAGCACACGAGCTTGTTTCGACTAGGGTGCTGCAGGCTCTTGCTGTCAGCATGACAACCGGGGCAGCTACGTTGCCATCATCATGCTTCGCCATTGAGAGAATGCTCTATCAGCACAATCAGATATCATAATCATCGTCGTTGTTTTTTCTCCCATCGTCCTATGATTCTCTTCATAGTTATCATATCATGTTGGTGCTTCGTGACACTTGTTCGCATTTTGGCCCTTGGCATGAAGTTTTCATACCCACGGCAGAGCAAGGCATGTTTTAGGTATGACTGCCCGCATTCCCTAGCTAGTGCGCACAATGTCTACAAGGCGTGATAACGAGCCTGGTGTTGCTGCACGTGATGCTGACCATGATGATGTTTAGGATGAAGTTGGTGATGCTTGTGGTCATGGTCATGATGACGATGATGGTGAGGGCGATGATGGGTGAGTGTGCTTGCGTGTGCGGGTGACACTTAAATGTGTGGAGGTTCAGTCGCCCTCATCGATGATGTGCATGCAATAAAGCATCCGAAAGTATTAGTACTTTACTGTCCTCCTCCAGTCCCCACCTAATGAAGGTAGGATATGCCCCCAAGCCCTCTTCCGCCTATATGGCTGCCACAAAATGTTGTGTCGATGCCCCGTTGACAGGTGCCCTGGCTCCTGGAGCACTTCCAGTGGAGCCCAGCGAGTCAAAAGAGGACGACACATTTATCGTACAATCAACATTTTGGAGTTTCCGAAAATTAGGGGTACCTTGTTTTGGAGTAATTAAATAAGGATCCTACTTTTTGGAGTGCTATATTTGGGTCCCCTATTTCCGGAAACTCCCATATTCGAGACCATGGCTATGGCGGCAGCTGCTGCTTAACGCCTCTGCTTCGATGTTTTGTGATGATCGTCCTGGGCGATGTGCGTTCTGCATACCATGATCTTCGGACAGCAGGGATGCCGTGCTCCTGGGTGGCCCCGGCAAAGGCGTCGCGGACTGAGCCAGCAGCTGGGTAAACTATTCGGATCAACTTGTTCGAAACCCCACCCACAAGCCATGAGACTGTCAATTTCCAGCCCTCCAACCGACTCCACAACACCAATCACACCCTTACGACTCTCGAAGGCGCATTTCCGCATCTCTCCATAGGACCCTAAGGGACCCTAATATGGTACCCTAAATAGTCGGACCCTTATTATAAGGACCCCCAAAATAATGTACCCCTAATTTTCGGAAACTCCCGGCCCAAACCATCAATTTGTTGGCTTTTCCGAGGTCATCATGTCGAGCGAGACGCTCGGTCACGAGGCCATGCCGTGGGATCTTCTGGGTGAACCCTAAACCCTAAGCCCTAAACCCTACGCCCCTAAACCCTGAACCCCTACACCGCTAAAACATGGGTGAACCTTCAACAGTAAGCCCGAGCATGTAGACGGTGTGAAGACGGTTCAGATCGCAGACACGGTGCAAGCTTGGGCTTCCGATGGCCTAGGGTTCTTAGCCGGATCTTTGGCTTCTAGGTTTAGGGTTTATGAGGGTTTCGGGGTCTCTTTAAAGTTTAGGGTTTAGGGCTCAGAAGCAAGACCTGACTGACCAAATAATCGGAATGAGAAGGTTAGCTGTTATAGCCGCAGGACCTACATGGTGAGACCATGGGTGGGGGGCCACCCTACTCCACCATGCTCGTCATGTAGGGTGCTTCACCTGAACCCTCAAGCCTTCCCAAGCCCTCAAACCCCGAGAGCCTAAACACAACCCTAAACCCCGACACTCGAGACCCTACGCCCTACCGGTAGAAGCTGGGGAGCTCGCACACCTGGAATTCGTAGGCTGCTCGTGGAGTTGCCGGAAGGGTCCAATGGAGTACTTAGGTACTCCGACAATGCCAATGAATGGCTGAATGATGGATAACGGATAACGGATAGTATGAATCAGTCTGAGCTGACAAGTACTGTTGTTGCAAGTATTCATATTATGAATATGATCCCCATTTTAATTCGTGGTTGTAGTAGGAGGAGGAGGAGGAGGAGGAGGAGGAGTAGCAGCACATGTTTTTTTTTATGACAAGGTGTCAGGCCACAACATTGAGCGCCTTCATGGTGCAGTACGATATGCAATGCTTCTTAGAATCACAACAAGGGTTTTTCACTACCGGCCCATACTTGAACGTGAAATCCTAAGCAAAATACGTAATAACAATAGCAACAGTACGATTAACAATAGTAGTATGAATAACGATAGCAATTTTTAATAAAAAGCAGCAATAATATCAATAATAAACACCCCAGGCTGGGGTCCAAATCTTCGATCTCTGGAGCGTCAGACCCTAGGGAGTCGCTGAAAGCTAAGGTTGGCGGAAGGATAATTTAGCAGCACACGGTTTAAGGTTTAGGGTTAAGTGCGTCGCGTCCCCTGAGAGTTTGCACTACAACTCTACTATATGATCTGCCCCAAGATCCAATTCATAATCTGAGAGTCCCCAATATATTAACTCCACCACAATTTGCCCCCAAGATCTTGTTTATAATCTGCCCCTATAGCAGGATGCTTCTGAGATCCTAGGTTCGTGTCCTCCTGTGTGCGTCGAGAGTAGCATGTTCGAACAATCCCTCGGGATCCGTACTGAAACTTTCTAAACGCTACAGAACCGTAGACCATAGGATCCCGCCATAGCATCCATTTGAAGTACTTCATCCTATAAAACTTCAGCCCAGCATTGCGAAGCTCCAGACCACTACATAAGTTGAAAATCCTGGGTCGATGCGCAAAACTAGACTGAATGTTTTGGGGTCCCTGAACCCTCAACCTGAACATATCCTTGGGTGCCTGCCGGAGGACATCCCGTTGCATCTCGGGTGCAGTTATTGAGCAGCGAGGCCTTCTAAACTCAGCACAAGTGCATCAGAACCAATCCCCCGAACCCTAATCCCAAGAACTTTTAAGCCTAAAGCCACGTAAACACTAATCCCGTTTTGTAATCTAAGCCCGAAGCCCAAGCATCTTAAGCCCAAACCCATGCACCCCAGAGCAACAGCAGCAAGTATCTAGGGCTTCTCAGGGATCGGAGGACAGATGCAGCAGTCCCGCATCATTCTGGTGGAAGGTCTTGGGGCATCAGAGGCTCTACAGGACATACACGAACTGGATCTCTTGAGGCGTCTGGGCTTGAGGTTGAGTGCTTCGTCAGGCTCAGCTGTGTTGTGCATTCGACTGCTGGGCAGCACTAGCTACAACACCGCAAATCCCTTAGTTGGAATCGGATTTTCGAGGCTTTCCCAAAGGATTCTGCAGACTCTTGACGGCCTCGACCCCAGCAGCCTACCTTGATATAGTCCAGTTACCTTGTTGTGGGGTCTTTCTGTAGCCGCGACTACAGACCGACCTTTTTCGCGATGTCTTCCTACTTCCTTCAATACAGACCTATTCCTTTTCGTGGGGTCTGCTGGAGAACCTTTGATTTAAGCCTGCAGGGGCCATGCTAATTTCGATCTAATTTCGGAGCCCCATTTACTAAACCTCACTTCCTAATCGTCCTAATCCCTGGCCCCAAACACTAAACACCCAGACAAGAACAGCTCCCTTGAGGTACATCCGGGACCTACGCCGGAGTCAGCGCCATACCTTTGTAATACTGCCTGGCACTTGGCAGGCCTCCTTTATAGCTTTGCGAACACTGTGTTTCATCGGGCTGGCATGGGTAAGGGACGTCATCATGTGGTTTATGACGGGGCTTAAAGGGTTTATTAGGGTTTGCAGGTTTGCATAAGTGGGCTTTCACAAAAGGGGTTTGGTTGACACTCCAGGAATGGATGATATGGGGCTTCGCTATTCCACCGTCATCCCCACGACTGGAGGGGAGCGTGTATGCGTATCGGTGGCTGCCGCACTGTCTTGCAGAACTGCACATGATCCGCACGTGGGCGTTATCAGGACGTTTCTACCAGATCTCCCAGCAGGACACCCCAAACAAGTTACGCAAGCCCTACCACAGTCGCCTCAGTCTGATACTTGTTAAGACCCTGCCATAAAAGACTTCAGACAAATCGTTGTAACTTACCGATCTAACTGTCCCGTTCACGTTACAAAACCCTTGCGCAAAGTTGAAACCTCTTACAAAGCCCTATTCCCATTATGCAGGCCCCTACATAGTGTAGCCGAGGTCGGACAGCAATGACGAGCTGCGCTGCATCATGCAGGCCAAAGAGCAGAAACACTAGAATCGGACATTTCAGTGTTTACTGTTCGGGGGAGGGTAGTGGGTTCCAGGACTTCACGTTAATGAATGAAGGAGTCTATCGAGTGTAGTTACTTTGAGGATGGAGCCTCATTTGGTTGCGAGCTAGCATATCAGAACTAGTTAAAACCTTAAACCCTAAACCGTTCACTCTTTCATGTTGATCCCTGTGCCCGGCAATTACCTTGGAATTCTGTCTTGGAGCTATTATAGGGATATAGTATAGGGGGCCTTAATAGGTACCTGTAGTATTTTGAGGGCTCAGGGTACTATGATTATTGTATAATAGTTTTGAATTATTAAGCTGTGGCTTCACCGTCGATGACGCCTTCATTCGCCACCGTTCCCGCAGCGAAGATTCAAAGAGAGTCTTTACTTGTTGCTGGGTGTATTGAAGGACGGAAGTGGGTGCATCGGCCGAGCTTTTTGTGCACATGTTTCTTACAGAGCACTCTAGACACATCTTGAACGGCTTTTGGCAATCTAATGCCCCTTGGGTCCCTAACTTTGCTGTCCTTTTCCCATAAAGGTTCTGCGGTGGCAGGCTGTATGAGCTGATCAGCTTAAGTTCAGTTGTGCTGGGACGTTCGCGACTGGCTGGGCGAGCATTGGTTCAAACAACTGGCAAAAAACAAGTCGCAAACTTGCAGCTTCTCTGAGCCGGAAGTCCCAAGCCCCTATAAGGAGCTGTCGCTTCCATGGCTTTCTCCTAATTATGTAGGATACATCGGGCCCCTACACATGAAAACTGTAGATCCAGGGTTTAAGGTTGAGCATTGTGGTTTAGCATTCAGGGGTTTAGGGCTTTCTTGTTTCAGGGTTTTAGACTGTATGTAGATGCCGGGCTTGGGGACCTTGCCGGTGTGATACAAAGCACGACCTCTCTAATGCGATTCTTGCCCTACCTATAGTCTCCATTGTAGTTCCTTGTTGGGGTTACCGTTTAGGATCCTTAATATAAAATTGGTTAAAGCAAAAAGGGAACTACAATGGAGACTATAGGTGAGGGCCCTTAAGGGCCCCTTAAGGGCCCAACAAGTTAAGTAACGACTTAAGGGTTCCGGAGGCTTTCGCTTCAAAGACAGAAGGAGCTCTTCCTTTTTATTAGGGGCCTTTATATTTTGGGGGTTCCTCATTACATTTATATCAGAATGGGCCCCAAAACCCTATTCTAATTATCAAGGCTCCCATACTATTCCTTTGCAGCGCGAGCCTGCCCCAGAACCACTGCGACAACAACCTGTGCGTTTGGAAAGCTGCGGCCCGAGATGGAAACTGTGGAGTAGTCCTCTCGCAGTCTGTTTCATTAGAACCCGGAGACCTGGGCACAGGTCGAAAGATGTTTTTTAGCTATCATGCGATAGCAAAATAGATTGGTATCAGTTCGGTGCACCAGCAAGTACAAGAATCTTGTTGCGTGCATATGTGTCTACACGAAGCTATGTGTGTGTATATATATATATATAGACACGTATGTGTGTGCAATGGTCAAGGTATATATAGACAAGCTTGTGTCTATATATAATAAACAAACAGTTTCAACACAAGTAATCTGCATCAAAACTCAGAATCGTCGACTTCGATCTTGAAGCTTCCGAAAATGGGGGACCCTAATATGTACCCTAAATAGTAGGAGCCTTATGAAAAGAACCCCGAATAAGGTACCCCAAGTTTTCAGAAACTCCTCTTTCCATCGAAAACCTAAACCCCTAAACTCTAAGCCCTAGACCCCTAAACCCTAAACCCTAAGCCGTTCAACACTGTGACTACAAGGACTCGCGGGAAGTTCGTGTCCGGATCTCGGCAAGTCATCGATCTCCACGCCATTTTCAGGGTTTAGGGCTAAAGTTTGCTAAGGCTGAGGAAGTTGAGGGTTTTCGGTGTTCCAGCCAAAGCTTGAGACTGTTTAAAAAAGCTTTGGTGTTTAGAGCGATCATTTTTTCGGCCTGGTGGTGTTTACGGTCGAGGTGTGTCATTGTTTGTTGTTTTCTGCTTGGTGTGTCTTGTACTTCGGACGGAGTCTCTCATTCCAAAGGCAGCTGATGAAGCACCATCTTACTCTAAACCCTGTGCCCTAACCCCTCATATCCGGAGCTAAATCCAGGAAGCCGAAGACCGGGCAAGCTGGATGCATTCTGCTGAGGTGAAAGTCTGCTCGGTGAGGAACCCGTACGCCACACCTTTCTGCACAGCTGTCGATATGCCGGGAGGTGTTTTAGATGAGGATCAAGGTCGCTTGGGCTTTGGAACGTTCGGGCATGCCCAGGTGAGGGTCCGGATTTGGTGGCCTCGGAGTGTAGAGTTTATGGTGAACATGTAGTGCAGTTTTGTCGCTCATGCGGCTGATGTCTGCTCCTGCTCCTGCTCCAGTTGCTCCCATCGTGACCTGTGGTCGTCATGGCCAGAGTCGACTCGCCTTCACGCTGGTCACTGGGACAGTGATGATGACATTGGTGGTGATCGTTCTACTCTGCATCGCACCATCTTTGTTGTTTGGTTCCGTGTTCCATGTTGCTTAGTTCTGATATGCTTGAATTGGTGAGTCCATCCCTCCCCCTTGCTCCTATACTGCTGCAGCATGGCAGGTGAGTCTTCAGTTCCGCCACATTTGACGGAGGACTTCATTCTGCCCTCAAGGAAACGGCACATAGGTTCTCAACCTACACTGCTAGGTTGAAGCATGTCCCCTTCCATGAGCAACGGCGCCAAACCCTCAGCCCTGCCCCCGAATGCCCGAACCCTAAATCCAAAACCTTAAACAAAACCCTCGAAGCCACGGATCCTTTTGAGTTTAGGCCTCCCGGCATGAGGATTCGGCATTAGGTGTAAAACAGAGCCAGGGCACTGAGAACTCTGTGTGGGAGTCAGAAAGATAGTGGGGCCTGATGTAGACACCAAGTAGCAGGGTCCTTGAACAAAGGATCACCCCCAAGACTAAGGCTACGGATAAGGGCAGATTGTTTTGAAGTACTTCACCCCCCCCCCCCCCCCCCCCCCCGCACGAAAGAAACAAAGCCCAAAGCTAACCACTCCTACCCCCCCCCTGCCTGAACCCTAACCCTATACACCCTAAAACCTAAAAGCCTCACACTCTAAAGCCGAAACCTCTATACAAGGCCAACACCCCAAACTCTAACTCTAAACCCAAACACCGAAACCTCTATACAAGGCCAACACCCCAAACTCTAACTCTAAACCCAAACACCCAAAACTCTAACTCTAGACCCTGAACTCTCAACTAAACCTTAAACAGGCCTTATAACCCGTGAACCCGCATGAAGCCGATGGCACTCTTCACAAGCGCCGGTGGACGACGCAAGGCCTTAGCGTAGGACTTGGAGCCTCGAGGGTTACTTTAAGGGCTCTTGTCGGTCTTATTATAAAGGGTTCCTTCAGCACGGATTGGTATCAAAAAGCTTTGCATGTAATTTACGGAGTCCAGTTGCTAGGATGCTTTGCAGGTAACGTAGGGAGTCCAGTTGCTAGGACTTGCTGTCCAGGGTTGCGAGCAGAGTTTCAAACGGCATGTTGTGAAAGGTTTCTAGCCCTGGGTACGTTTAGTGTGCAGGGTCGAGGGTAATTTTTGCGGTGACTATTCGTAGCAATGTCCCCTGAAAAACAGGCCCGATATAATTCAAGCAACATGTGCTACCAAGCCCTATTCTACTGAGAAAAGCTCCTATATGCACAAGCCAACCTTCTGCAAGTCTCATTGCTATGAAACTATGTCCGATGCCGTAAACTCAAAACCCCGAGCCTGGACCCAAAAAACCCACACCTTAACCCCAAAGCCCGTACCCTAAGCAGCTTGCCCGTAATCCCCAGGCTCGCAAGACCCTGTCCAGCGCCAAAGTCCCCAACTACAACGGAGGCAGATGGCTGCACCCTTTCTCGTCAAACGAAGCGGTCGCCAGGCCCGGATTCGTGGTTAGTGTAGAAGACTACCTTATCTTATCAAGACCGACTTGTTTATATAGGGTCCCAAAAAATATTCGGAGATACTATAGCGAAAGTAGGTTATGGTAGTTTAAGGTAGAGTGTAGGGCATAGGGCGAAGACCAGATCGAAACCCCAAGCAGTGATCAGACGAGCTTTCCCGGCTCCATCGAGGGAGGTTCCGGTACTTAGGGTTGAGGGTTTAGGAGGGTGGTGGTCTTGATGGGGGGTTGGTGGTAATGACCATGATCATGCCTTATGCTGACGAGTGTGCTTTAGTCTAGTTGCCCGTCTTCTCCAACACAGCTTGGGACAGGTTCTTTGGGGTGGTGTCTTCTTGGCATTCAGTCCTGTTGTTGGTGAATTGTAATACGTATCGCAGACAGGGATTAAGACCCAGGGGAGCTGTTGAGCAGAGTTGCATAAGCTTTCGTGGAATCAAACTGGGGGTTTGCTACTTCTAGAGGTCACATGAACCCACCTGAGCTACTGAGACTAGGATGGTGGTCCGTTCACATGTCCTAAATCCTAGAGTCCTACCTGGACCCCTAAGGCATGTAGAATAATAGCCTTTATAGGTTTTGGGCCATTATTTTACCTACTTTTGGGGGTCTAGGAAAATCCCATAATCCGAATGCGAAACCCTGAAGACCCTGAGCCCCTAAACTTTGACCACCCGAGCCCCTCAGGCGGAAATCCAGCAGAACTGGGAAAGTCGGGAGCTGAGTTGTCGAGGTATGTTTAGGGTTTAGGGGCTTTCGGGATTTAGGGCTTTAGGGGTTTAGGGTTTAGGGGTTAGAGTTTAGTGTGGGCTACTGGTTGGCTAGCAAAAACATGTTTTTGTGTATTTAAACTGGATTACTGCTGTTCCCTAAATTGTGATCACTCTTTGGGCCCACTGCCGCATAATTATACTTCCCATAATGCAGAGTCTACGAGGGGCCCACAGTGGTCAGTTCCCATCTTTGGGTTAGAGTATCAAGAAACGACCGCAACATCCCGCATATGTCAGAACGGAGCCCGCTACGCAAAGCATTCGGGGCCAAGTTTTCAATTCTCAGAGTGATGCACCAACCTTGCGTTTCTGGGTTTGGGAATTTAGGATTTTTGGGCTTGGAGAGTTTGTGCGAACGGACTGCGATGCCTTGTCAAGTTCTAAGGTGTCACTATAAGAGCTGTGAGCAAGACCGTGTAAAGTGCAAGAGAAGGGGGCACGCTACGCGTCCCTCGACTCTAAGGGGGCACGCTACGCGTCCCTCATCTTTACCTTTCTATGTGACCGCCCACGCAACGTTTGGCTCAAGTCAATGCCCATAGCGAAGTGCTATATGTGTCTTCTATCCTGAGCAATCAGAGCTATCCCGTTGCACAGACGAACCGCCGCCGGCAGTGAGTGCAAAAGGAACGGCCGCCGGTTCTGCCTGCATAGGATTGCACACGTGGAAGTGTAAGAGAGACAGGGTCCAGTCTGTGGAGAGTGCAAGCCAGCCACACCTACATTCATTACAGCTCTGGTGGGGAGAGCAGCAACCTAGTCGAGATCAATCCCCCACGCAGGTTATCAGCCGTACGCGGCTCTGCCCTTCTACAGCAACGACTACTTGATCTACTACGACCACAATGAACTCGGGATCAAGCCAAGATACGACAATGACTTTCGGTGCCGATGTGGCAGCGCCAGCCGTTGGTGAGTCAACAGCTGATGACACAGTGGTGCAATCAGTTGATAGCTCCACGGAAGATGACAAAGGTCAATCTTCTGCGCTTGCCATTGCAAAGGCAGTTCCCAAGGGGAAAGCAAAGAGTCTACCAAGAGCATCTACGCCTTCGCGTCCGACATCCACAGGTTCGAGGACGGGCAAGGCTCCCGAACGACGAGCCGAAGCGTCTGGTTTTCAGGCACCTCGGACTACGTCCAGGGCCAAGGACAAAGGAGTGAAGACCTTGGAAAAGAAGTCAAGACCATCATCTTCGAGAAGCTCTTCAGCACGATCGAGGACTTCGGCTAATCGTGGGCGTGACAAATCCATGACTTGGAATCGGATGGTTACCAATCAACCACGTGATGCTGACGATCTGGATATGACTCTGGACACTATCCCAGCACGTGGCGATGCGTCATCGGTGACCACGCCAGCCATAGCCGATGGTCCGAATGCCTATCAGGAACTGACGATTTCGCAACAGCTCGAAGCATATAACCTTGCGCAGCAGATGTACTATCGCAGTCAGATGCAAGAATACGAAGGAGTTGTTCAGACCCTGATGGACAAGATCAAGGAGATGCAACAAGAAGATGAAGGATCTGGGATTCGCATTGAAGAATTGGAACGACAACGTGACCATGAATGCTTAGCCATGAGGCACATCAACAATGTCAATCAGGAGATGAAGCGAGACTATGAAACAGCTTTGTTTCGCATGGATGAACAGAACTCTGCTCAACAACGTCAAGCACATGCCGTTGCCGAGGAGTTAGCTCAACAGCTACACGTGTTCCGCACGGAGGCAGCCACTAACTGTGTGCAGTTGGAGGCAAGAGCGCAAGGCGATGGTGAGCTTATGGCACGTGAGTATGAGCGTCTGACTCATGAACTTCATGAACATGCCAGAGAGAACTTGGTCCTCCGGTCAAACACAGCAAGTTCGGAACAAGCCTTACAAGCAATGCAGAAACGATTCCACTTGGTCAAGAACCAGGAGTTGCGGGCCGTGAACGAGATCCAAGGGCTAGCTGGAAACAGCGCAGCCATTGATCAAGAACGACTTCGGCTTCGTGAACGTCTTGGTGAAGAGGAAGAGTACCGCAAAATGGCTGTGAAGAGGATGCAAGATGCAGAGGACCGACTTCATCAGAATGAAGATCATGCAAGGCGAGCATTGCCTACCTTGCACGACGAGCTGAGTGAACTCAGAAAAACGCTCAAAGCACAAGAAGATCTTCAAGCGAGGACACGCAGCGAATTGGAGGCAGCGCGGAACTCCAACTATGGAGGAGCGACACGGCCTTCAAGCATGCCCATGTCTTCGAGGACTACTGAGTCTGGCTGGGAGCACGTAGGAAAGGAAGTAGTGCCTGCATTTTCCGTAGGAGGTGAGGTACGATCCCCTGAAATACGGTCCCCAAGTCAAGTTAGTCCAGTAGCCAAAGAGAAGTTCGCATTCTCGGAATCGGACAAGGACAAGAACCTTGTGATGGACGGAATTCCATTCACCGGTGGAAACTTCTTCAC